AACACATAACAGAAGAAGTAATCCAATTGAACACGGGCAAATGATCTGAACAGACACTTCTCAAAAGATGTACAAATGGTCCATAAATACATGAGAAAATGCTATGTTTAGCCTTCAAAGAAAAGCAAACCAAAACTATATTGAGATTCTACCTCATTCCAATCTGAATGGCCACTGTCCAAAAAGCAAAAAATTACAAATGTTTACAAGGATGTGAAGAAAGGAGCCCTTATACATTTTTGCTGGGAATGTAAATTAGTATAATCAATACAAACAACAGTATGGAGGTTCCCCATAAACTAAAAATAGAAGTACCATACATGACCCAGCCATACCATTGCTGGAAAAGGAAGAAAATAAAGAGATCCCACATACCAATGTTTATTGCTACACTATTCTACATTGTTTGTGGGATTGTAAACTAATACAACCATTATGGAAATCAGTATGGAGATTCCTCAAAAAACTAAAGCTAGAAATTCCATTTGACCCAGGTTTTTTAAAAAGATATTTTCCTGAAAGCATTAAAGACATCATGTTACAGTGATAAATGCATACCCATGTTTATGGCAGCACAACTCATAATAGCTAAATCTTGGAGGCAGGCATTATGTCCATCAACAGATGAATGGATAAAGAAAATATGGTATTTATACACAATGGAGTACTACTCTGCCATAAAGGATAAATGTGAGTCATATGTAGGAAAATGAATGCATTTTAAGACCATAATTTAAGTGAAATAAACCATACATAAAAGCTTAAATATAACATGGTTTCTCTTATATGAGAAACCCAAGATATAAATAAAGAGCAAAATAAAAGATAAGAATTATGGCTATAACTTTTTTGCATAAGGGAAAGGGACTAAGAGATATAGGGAAAGGGGAAGGAGAAGAACGATTAAAAAACAGAATTAAGATATATGTTGTACACATACCAGCTCTCCACTTGGAATGTAATCATTATGTACCATGAAAATATAAAATAAAATAGAAAAAAACTGTCCAATTAGCTGAGCGTGACAGAGTATACCTGCATAACCATTATTACTCAAAATACCTAACACTGGTCATCTCCTACATGTTCCCACATGCCTTTCTACTCAGACACCTACTGACCAGCTGCGACTATACATTAGTTTTGCCTGTTCTAGAATTTTACAGAGATAGAATAATATGCTATGAATGCTTGAATAACTGACTTCTTTTCCTCAATATAGTTTCTGAGATTTGTCCAGGTTGTTGAGTGCATCAGTCATTTGTTCGTTTGTATTGGTAGGTAGTAGTATAGATAAGGCACAATTTATTTACCTATTCATGTCCTGATGAACATTTTGGTTGTTTACATGTTTGGTTGTTTAAAAATTTCTGTATAATTCTGCATACATGTTTTTCCTCTTAGATAAATACTTAAGTGTGAAATGGTTGTCATAGGATCCTGTGTGTTTAACTTTTTAAGAAAATCTCTTTTCTCTCTAAGTATCACCCACAAATAGGATGGGTGCTATTAAGTTCTATGCATGTGACAAAAATTGCTATGTTATGTTTTAGGATGAGAAGAAGGGATGCCTTCTCTGTCCTTTGGGCTAGGCTACAAATGGGAGAATGGTGGACAGCTTTATGCTGAGGTAGTAGCACACACTGTATAACACAACAGTAAGATTCTCCCCAGGCTTTTTCAGTGTCTTTAGAGGTGTTCAAAGCACTTTTTGTATGAGGATGAAGCGTACTGGTATCTTTATTTGGAAGAGAAACATTCAGTTCATCCCTTCTGGCTTCCCTTCATGACCCCTCCCTCCATATACTGTCTGTTTAGAGCCTCTGGGGTCCCCCTTTCCTTTGGCCATACATGCCTGTAGGTTTTGGATTACTGTGTCTTTTCTCTGATTATCCATCTTCTAGGTATTTGCTGACTCATATCTGCTGATGGGTCTTCCCTCATTCTCTTCACTTTTCCTAGGTATGTGTATTTTATTGGAGTCTTGATAGGGAAGAAAAATGATAAATCTTTTGGTCTGGAGTTCTCATCCAGAAATTGGTGGATCTAATTCACTGTAGCAATCCAGTACCATATCCTACCAGTGAAACTGCTCTAGCCCAGGCTCTTCAATGACCACTATTGCTTAACTCTAATGCACAACTTTCTGTCTTAATCTCTAACACTGGGTACTCTATGACTTTCTTCTTTCCTGAAACACTCTTTATTTATACAATACTACTCTCTCCTAGTATTTGGCTTTTTTTCAGTCTCATTTTCATACTTCTTTCTCTCTGTTCTTCATCTCTCACTTTACATATTCTCCCTAGGTAATGTGACCCAGTGGACTCTTCCAAACTCCATACTTGCAGTATTTAGACAGCTCCTCTCCTAAGAAGCATTTCCTTAGCTTGCAAGGCTGAAGAGGTGCCCTAAAAGTCCCCATAATATCTACCAGACTCCTCTGGAATTTCTTACATGGTACAGACTGCCTGCTCGGGGATGTTTCCTTCCCTGGCTGTAAACTGCCTGACTGTGTGTTTCCATTTTCAGCATTTCTTCTGACATATAATTGGTACTTGATAAATATTTGCTGGATTGAATGAGATCACTGATATGAAAAAGTGCTTTATGTTTTATACATATTATCGGTGTCAATAACAACAAAAATTTGTACTTTGAAGAAAAATATGTAAAGATAAGCCTCAAGCTAATCATAGAAGATATAAAATTCTTAATTAATATAATATAAATTTTTAATTTGTGTAATGTAAATATAATGCATATCTTCATGTGAAAATTTTATCCTTCTCATTTCTTGGCACCTCTTCAGAGCCAAACCAACGTAGATTTCTCTCATCCAAAAAGTCTCACTCTATGTTCATAGCAGCATTATTCACAAAAACCAAAAGCAAGTGTTAGATGAATGGATAAATAAAATGTGATACAAACACACAACAGAATATAATTAAGCCATTAAAAGGAAGAGAATTCTGACATATGCTACAATGTGAATGAAACTTGAGGTCATTATACAAAGTGAAATAATCCAGTCAACAAAGACAAATACTGAAGGCTGAGGCAGGAGGATCACAAGTTCAAACCTAGCCTGGGCAACTTAGTGACTTAGCAAGATATTGTCTCAAAACACAAATCAAAAAAGGGCTGGGAGTGTAGCTGGTATGAAGGTTCTCGTTTCAGTCCCCAGTACTGGAAAACAAAAGAAAAAAGGAAAACAAAACAAAACAACAACAACAACAACAAGAGGCAAATGCTGTATGATTCCTTCTATACAGGTATACAAAGCAGTCAAATTCATAGAAGTAGAACACAGGATGGTGATTGCTAGGGCTTAAGGAAGAGAAAATGGAGTTATTGCTTAATGGGTTCAAAGTTTCAGTTTTGCAAGATGTAAAGAGTTCTGGAGATGGATGCTGGTGAGTTAAAAAATGGTTATGAGGGCCGGGGATTTAGCTCAGGAGTGCCGCTGCCTGCCTTGCAAACGCAAGGTGCCGAGTTTGATCCCCGGTACCAAAAAAAAAAATGGTTATGATAGTAAAGATTATGTATATTTTACAATTAAAAATAAAATAAAGTTTCACAAAAAATGCTTCATCAGACTATTTTTCAAATAAAAGTTTTCTGACCTATGTCTAAAATGAAAATTAATCAAATTATGGAGTATGTAAATATATAAAACACTATAAAAGATTAAAAACAGAACTAAAGAATAATAATAGTAGTAATAGAAGACATTTATTGATGTTTATTACACGCCAAACACTGTGCTAAGTATTTTACGTGGATTATTATTTATTTAAAATGACTGTGAGAAAAATGAGATTTTTCAAGAGTTTAAGTCACCTACAAATGGTCTCATAGCTAAAAAGTGAGAACAGGGATTCAAATGCAGCCACACTAAGCCCATGCTCTGGCATTCTATCTGCCCGAACACTTAAGCATGAGAGGGCTGGTGAGAAGGTGTCAATACATTCCTTTGGTTTTCACATTTAAGAGACAAAGGAAAACAAAATTGGTGATCTGCTTCTACATATCAAGCACATATGGCATGCATGAGATTCTAATCAGATCCCAGATCTGAGGGAACCATTATCACGAGCGGTGGATATGTACACAAAGAAGGAAATATAAGCCATGAGCTGCCAAAGAGAGAGAATGTCGTAGTCTCATGAAAAGCTACACAATTCTTGGCAACAGAAAGTGAGAACAAATATTGACTAAGTGAAATAAAATCAGTCTATAAAAGTACTTCATTTCAGAATACATGTGGGAAAAAGGCAAAAAGACCAACTTTACTTTCTTCTCAAAGAAAGAAATGTAACAGACTATGGCAATTGACATTTGTATCCCGATAAAGAGGAAACTGACTCTTCATTCAGATTACATTTTAAATAACAATATCATTGTTAAAAATATTCCTGTATTAAAGATTCTAATAGGCATATAATGATTTACATGAAAAAAAATTTTTTTAAACAGAGTCTTGCTATATAGCTCAGGCTGCCCTTGAACTCACCACATAGCCCAGACTGGCCTTGAGTTCACAGCAATCCTCCTGTCTTGGCCTCCCAAGTGCTGGGATTACAGGTGTTTGCCACCACGTCTGGCTGACTGCATGAAATTTAAACCACCACATAAAATTTCTAGGGCAACTCAAACAGCCTTATTTTTCCAGACATTGTGAATTTCAGAAAAAATACAAGGACACTGGAGCAATCTACTTGAAACCTCAGATTTAATTTTTTTTTTCTATCTTCTTATTGCCCTTTAGTTCTCTCCAGACTTAACATCTATCTTCTTCGCCACAACATTCCAAGAAAACACTCACCAATGTGTAGTTCCAAGAACTGCAAAGATGTCTTGGTTCCAGAGGCTTTAAATAATTGTTATTTTCTATGCTTACCTCAAAATCATATTGATACCTTGTTTACTAACATACCGAGTTTTCCTGTTTTTTTTAACTGCAGTGTCAATAACTTCTATGTGAATATACACTATACCTTGTTCCAATATCAAGCCAGCTGCCATAATCCTTGACCAAGAAGAAAAATTGCTGTAAAATATAATAAAAGATGGTTCTAATTTTTAAAAAGCCTATTTAGATTCAATCTAAAAAACTTGTTTTAAGACTGTATGTTACATATTTTTGACTCCTCTGAGTAACTCTGTTTAGGATCAACAAGAATATGCTTTTTACTAAAACTTTTACTTGGATTAAAATAAGCAATAGTCTAAATGCCTGAATTACAATTACAATTCAAGGAAATGAACATAACATTTTTGTGAATAACTAGAAATAAAAAAGCAGCCAACTTTAGTAAAAAATACCAGACATAAATGAAGAGAAACCATGTTATTCATTCAGTAACAAATATTTACTGATACTATTATGTACTAATAATCACTATGTTAGGTCCTAAAGATAAGTTCCTTCTCACAAAGCATATAATCAAGTGAATGATTCAAATTATCAAGTGTGTGTGTGTGTGTGTGTGTTTGTGTGTGAAAGTGAGACACAAAGACAGAGAGACAAGGAGAGGAGCAATATCCTTGGAAAATATATGCAATCATGGAAGCACTGAAGAGGTGGTATAAGGGAAGGTTTCCTTTTGAAAGATGAAATATAAGTGAAAAGTAGGAATCAAATGAAAGAGATTTGGGAGACAGACTAAAACTGTTTCTGGCAGAGAGAATAGCCTGTATAAATCCCACATGTCCAGATGGTTTGGTAGGTTCAAATTGAGAGGTAACACCAGTCAAGTAAACAGAAGTTAGATTACAAGTGGCTTTGCAAGTTAAATTGAGTGATCTTACTCTTCATATAAAATTAATCAGAGAATTTCAATTCTCTTCTGTTAATATGTCTTGCTTGTTTGTCACTCTGTGAGCAAAACTGAAAGCTGATTTTGTCCTAATCTTATGTGTGGTCCATTTAAAAAATATATTGGATATATAGTTCAATACAACACAATTATGCTTTCATTTAAAGCAAATGTTTAGGAATCTGATTTAGGAAGTTACCCTAATCTATGTTTCTAATCACTTTTAGCATGGGATGTTGTATAGTAAAGCATTAATTTTTTTTTTTTTGACACCAGGGATTGAACTCAGGACCTTGCACAGAGCCACTCAGCTAAATTCCAGGCCTGTAAAGCACTACTCTTTAACCCCCAAAAGAGGTGTGGCCTTTGTTCTCAACTACTGGGAAGTGATTTTAGGCCCTTGGAATGTCATGCCTAGTAGCAGTGTTTTACCTGGAGCACTATGCACTAGATAGTCTAACAATATGATTTATGATGAGGGTTTTGGGCCTCATAATATCAGTTCTACCCATGGAAACACTGAAGATTAAAGATTAACCATGTGGGCAATATGTGATTGAGCCTCAATAAAAAGTCTTGACATCAAAGCTAAAGTAAGTCAGGATGGCAATATTTTAGGTGTACTGTCACACCTGAGCATAACACACACTGTCCTGCCTCCACAGGAGGAAAAGAACAGAAGCTCTGCATTTGATGTCCTCTCAGACCCTGCTCTATATATCATTTCACTGCCATAAACCACAACTGTGAATATACCAGTGTTCAGCAAATTCTGTGAATCCTGGTTTCTTCTGTTAATTTCCTACGGAAGGTTCATTTCAGATACAAAGCAAAATGGAAGACTAGGTATAAAATGACAGAGTTGAATAAATGAAATAATGAGACTTTTGACACTTTATGAAGTTTAAGTAGCTTGTCTTTATGAGAGCATTTTAGAACTCAATATGTAAAGATTTCACATAAAGAAATGCATTCATATTTTTCTTGCTTAAATCAACTCAGCACTTAGCTTCTTAATCTTATTTATGCTAAATATCCAATAATACCTTACCAAGGCCATAATGTCTGATATGATGAGAACAATGAGAAAAAGGCTGGAAAAAAAAAGAGAAAAATTACATATAATACAATAGGCAGAGTTTTCAAGTACATTAAAATCTAAATGAGAATAATCAGGTAACTCATGAGGATAAAAGCAATATCCTAACGAGGGGAGAGCAGAAAGCTAGCATTGCTGATGCCATCACTGGCTTTATCCTGCCATCTCTAAACTTCCCATTATGTGAGACAAATCTACCAGTTAGATTTTTATTACTCACAGCCAAAAGCCTTCCTAGCAGATTATCCATCAGGAAATCTGCAGGCCCTAAAACTCCTTTTTAATGGTCTTTACCCAAAATGTACAAGGTTTTTCTAATGAACCCAATTATAAGGACTGAAAAATTAGACAAATTATTGATACTTAGAAAAGTTAACTTTAAATCATGGAAAATAAACTAAAGTGAACATAGTTTTTCTACATCACCTTTGCTGAATACATATTTTAGGGAATGAAACAGAAGAAATCCAGTTAGAATCATATCCCTGGTTTGTTATACTGAACTTATCCTTGTCATTATGAATCTAATAAACAAGTCTTTAGTACAAGCCAACATTCCCATCTTAACTCCTATCCTTTAAGAGTTGTAAGAAAATGTTCAGCAATGTAAATGAGACTGAAAATGTGGACATGAAAGAGAAATGATATGTGATATTTAACAAATGGATATGGCAATGAGGGAGGGACGGACTTTGGCTTGTATGATTAAGGAAAACAAAATGAGAAACTAGTTGACAATAGGAAGAAAGGGGATCACTGGGTGTTATGGCTTGTATCTACATGTCCCCCTAAAGCCTCACGCACTCAAAGGTGGGGCTTTTTGAAGGCGGCTGGATCTAGGTGTGTGAATATGAATTAAGGATATGTGAATATAGATTTATGTTGTGGTAACTGGATTAGTCCACTGATTGGTTTAGCACGGTTCCTTTTTTTTTTTGGTACCAGGAATCGAACTCCGGACCTTGCACTTGCGAGGCAGGTAGCAGAACCACTGAGCTAAATCCCTGGCCCTAGCACTGTTCTTGGTGTGGGTAATGGGAAGCCCCACTCTGGGTGTAGGTAGCACCACCCAAAAGGCTTGTAGCCTGGATGAGATAAAAGGGAAAGGGAGGCTTGCTGCTGCTGCTTGCTGTTCGCTGCCTCTTCCTGCCCTGCCATGAACTGTTTCTTCTCTGTGATGCCCTTTTGTGATGCACTCGGCCTTGGAGCCAGCCAACTGTGGACTAAAATTTCTAAAAACCGTGAGCCAAAATCTTTCCTCTTTTAACCTTGGATGTCAGGGTAGTGTCTCAGCAACAAGAAAAGTAGCCAAGACACTGGGTTCAGTGTGTGACATAGTAAACCTAAGAGTCTGTGATATTAAGGGGGAAATGTTAATGTCTTTATAAAGTTTAAAAGTCAAAAGAGAAGACTTTTATAAACCCTCAGGTTAGCCACTTTTGACTCAATTCTCTCCCTTTGCATTTGTTTTTCATTGCATTTAGTCTCAAGACAGAATTACTACATATACATGCACACATACAGTCATGCATAAATATATGTATATATACACATATATACACATGGACAACCCTTCTACTTCTCATTCTACTTGTTCCCAGTTTATAGTCAAGAGTTAATCAAAATCCCTTCTACAAAGTTTATACACTAACAGAGATGCAAGAAAGTGTATGTCATTCAGTAGTTTTTCTCACATCTAAATAACTGTTTTTATGTGAAATTTAAAGGCAGAGATGCCTTCAATATTAAATTCATGTAAATATTCTGCCAAAGTATACTAATATCATTTCAAACTAGACACAAGACTTTTACTATTTTTAAATAGTAGAAATAAACACTTAAAATGATGGCATATGTATAATAGTATGCTAAACCCAGTTCTACTTTAAACTCATCAAGAACAACATGCAAATTTATGTTACAATTAGTCATTTCTTTCAGCATTGAATATGTCAACTTGTCCAAAAATAACAAAACTGCTAAGAAGCTTCATATTTATATCAAGTGTTTTTTGGAGAATCCCTGTGCTAATGAGGCAATTTTATTGGTTAAAAAATGCAAATAGATGAGTTGATAGCTTTTCTTCCAACAATCTTGATTGCTTAAGACTTGACTACTCTAGAAATTCCTCCAAACTCAGAAAGAAGACTTCCTACTCCACTTTTCAAATGTGTAGAAATCAAGACTGTGTAAATCATTCATATTTAGAAAAGTTAATTTTATGCCATATACAATGTTAACAAATTTATCTAATATATATTTAGAAAATAAGCCAAAAAAAAATTAGAATGATATCCTTTTACAGAATCTTTCTTTTTTTTTTTGGTACCAGAGATTAAACTCGGGTCCTTGCGCTTGCGAGGCAGGCAGCAGAACCACTGAGCCTAGAATGATATCCTTTGTTTTACATATGCATAGTTGTAGTTGTAACAAATAAGTAATTAACTACAATGTTTAACATTTATGTTTCACTATTTGCTGGGGAAGCTCTTCACTAGCTTGAATAATATCCAACTAACATTTTATTGCTGAGAACGCATATTTGTCTGCTAGAGGTCCTAACCAACTAATTTCTTCTAAAGATAACTGAACTGTGACTAAAATGGTGAAATATTTCTCATTTTTATAATAAACAATCTAAACTACAGGGTCTTAATAACAATTACATGAAAGATTTTCAAATGTTTACTCTCATTTATGAGAAGATCCAATGTTTCTTAAACATTCACCTTACCTTTTTGATGATAATTTTGAAGTTAACTGAACTGCTTCGAAAGCACACATCACAAGAACAAAAGGAATTAAAATCTGTTTAAAAGAATAACAAATGATGTCATTGTTAACTGAAGCATTTAAAACAGCTTTTGAAACAAGTACTATTTCTTTTATCTTTTGTGTGTGTGTGAGTGTGTTACTATGGATTGAACCACAGGGTGCTGCTCTACCACTGAACTACACCCCTGACCCCAGTCCTTTTCATTTTATTTTGAGACAGGGTCTTCTAAGTAGTCCAAGTTGGCCTCCATCTTGTGATCCTCCTGCCTCAGCCTCTTGAGTAGCTAGGATTATAGACAAGTGCCAGCAAACTCAGCTTTGAAACAAATACTATTTCTGCTTATGAAAATATTTTCAATTTCTAAAAAAACTTCTATATATACTAATGAAGAGCAAACACTGAAATGCATGATACCAATAGTATAAAACAATGATGAAAGATTTAAAAAGCTATATTAACATATAGAGCATAAACAATAACAAACATTAACATATATTCCAAATAAAAATTTATTACAATTTATTTTTTATTTGGCTCATCTTAAAAATTCATGACAATGTTTAAGGCACAGGATGAACACCCAAATCAAATAAATTAAGCAGCCTGATAACCTGACTCAAAAATCTCTGAACTCATCTGATATGGACACTACAACACTATAAACATGATTCATTTGCTTTATCATTGCTTTTCTTTTTTTTAAAGGTTCTCACTAACAATCAGTCAACAAAGTTATCAAGTGCATTATGTTGTTAAAGTTAAAAGAATTATGCTGAAGATTAAAGATCCAGTATTATAATTTGAGCTTTTCTTTCTTTTTTCCTTATTTCTAGCTAGATTCACAGTCTTTTCGGCGGTTAATAGAACCACCACCATTTTAAAAAATGTGAATTAAAATTAAGAAAACAAAAACATTTTAAAATAATTTGATAAAGAATGGGACATGACAAAATACTGTTTTTTTAACACTTTCTAAATGAGTAGTTGCAGTAGTACTCAAACAAAAAGTAGTAATATTAGTGTAATAACAACACTATTATAAGAGAATACACTCCTTTAACAATTATTATTACTTACATGATCTGTACAGAAGGTAATCAAATTTTAGGCTGGCATTAGTTTTTAAAAATTTAAAAAAATTTTTTTGCAGTACCAGGGATTGAATTCAGGACCTTGCACTTGCCAGGCAGAGATGGCATCGCTGAGCTAAATCCTTGGGCCTAGTTTTTTTTTTTTTTTTTGTATCAGGGATTGAACTTGGGACCTTGGGTTTGCAAGGCAGGCACTGGAACCACTGAGCTAAATCCCTGGCCCTCTAGTGTGTGTGTGTGTGTGTATATATATATATATATATACACACACACACACACTAACTGCATAAAATGTGCCAGGCACTATAGTAGAGAAAATGTGGTAAAGAGAACAACATAAGTATAATGACTCTAGAAAAGAATTGATACCCCCAGAAAGCTAATATGTCATTATTTTTGTATTGTTAGCACCTAACCAGTGCTTGGCACACTAATGAATGGAGCGCTCAATGACATATTTGTTGAAGGAATAGATCAATTCTAGGTACATGGATTATAACATGCTGGCAGTTTTGTGGGTGGGATCTTTAGCAGCACTGCAGTTTTGATCACAGATTCTGTACAGCCTTTAATTACTTCTGATGGGACTTTCTGGAACTAAGATCAAATCCTTACTCTTGAAGCCCAACAGTCTCAAGAGTAAAGCAAGAAAGATCAACCATATTTGTAAGCAAGTGCAAGAGGATTCTGCCTCCAGATCAGCAATGGTGACAATGTCAGGAAAGATGTTTTCTTTCCACTGCCATTTATTTGTCACAATGGCTTTTAATCTTAATGTCATATGTTATATACTTTTAATCTGTCAATATCTTAATAAAATAAAATAAGAAAACTAACCTTCCACATCATCAGGGCTCCCATCATAAAAGGACTAAACACAGTCAGAAAGCAGTAGACAGAGGCAAGATCAAAGCTAGGGAATCACAACATAAAAAGAATTTTAGAATTCATAACGTAGCATTAAAAGATGATTCTGCTAAAAGGATGTTTAATTCTCTGAAATTTTACACAAACCTTACTCTTACACAAGCACATATCAAATCAAGGAATATCATGAAGCTATTAAACAAGGTAGACCTATATGTGACAATACATACCAACCTCCAAAAATATATCATTCAGTATAAATAACATGCAATGTATATATATTGTTTTCATTTTAAATTACCTGTTAATAGAAGCTATGTTTCCAGTTCCAAAAAATGCTGTTACTAAGAAGAATACCTAAGTAGAGTTAAAGAAATGCCAAAGCTGGTCCAAAGTCACACCAACTTCTTTTTCATTTAGAAAAATCATGCCAATTCTACCATGAGGGTAATTTGTTTTTCTTATACATTCAACCTTGAATGTTCTTCCAAAGGACACCATGAGGCCTGGGAAGCTGCCTTCACTTGGCTTCTAGTAATTTGGGAAGGTTAGTTTTCTCTTCCTGAACACAAATGAGTTGGATCATGTCTGTAGTTGACTGATAATGACTTTTTTGAAAAAAGAATGCAGACTTGCAAGATATTTTTAATTTTAATTCATACATGCTTGCTATGTGTCCACTATGTGGGAACCTCATGGCACATTCTTCAAAAGGCTCACAAAAGAAACCAGATACCCTGTTTTAGAAAAATTTAGTAGAGAGACGAGAAAATGTTGAACATCTTTTTGACATTTCTTAATCATAGATTTGTATTAGAATAGCAATAAAAAAGTAGATTTAATCTGATAGTGTCCAAATACCTACTGCTAGTAAAGTACTCAAAATGGTGTGTGGTTTATTGAAAAGACTCAATAAATATTTGCTATTTTATTATATATATATATACACACACACATGATATAGAAACCCTGAAGTAGTATATGTTACGACAATTTCTGGTAAAAAAGGGACTTTTGAGTTTGTAAACTGAGTCATAAATGTATTCATGAATCCATTTATTTAATCAACTAACATTTTTTATCTATTATATGTCAGACACAGAGTGAAGCACTTAGAATACAAATATAACAATCAAAGTATTCTAAGACTAAGATCAGTAAAGAAACAATGGAAAAATTGAAGATATAATCATGAAACAGTAAATAGGTAGGACAGGAGCTTAGAGCTTACTGAAGGATACAGTGAAAAGTGAAGCAAGAAATACAGTTTGGTGGCATAATCAAGAAAAATCAACGTGTGATTTCAGATTAGGGAGACAAATAGTTGGAGGTGGAAAATCCTATTAGAGAATTAATTCAGTAGTCCATGTCAGAGATAAGGAAGTCTGAACTGGTTCAGTGACAGTGGACCTATAGAGAACAAAGGCAGCCCACAGAACCACAGAAGTGGATAAGGAGCAGTTCAATATAAGTTTGGATGGCCTGGGTGACTGAGAACATGGTAAAGCCATTAAATGAGGGGAAGGGAGAGAAAGTAAGACAGGGGAAGGGAGGGGCGAGGAGGAGAGAGGAGAGAAGGGGAAAAGAATGGAGAGGAGAGGGGGATGAGAGGAGAGACAGTTTGGGACATATTTGGTGATGCCCAGGAGAATGCCCGCCATGTAGCTAGTTTGTGAGGTCAAGAGAGAGATCAATGCTGCAGAAGTATGTCTGAAGAGTTCTCTGCATACCGGTTTCTGTCAAAGTTAGAAGAAAGAATGGCACAGAGAGAGATGGTTAATGGTGAAGTTTGGAGCAAAACACACATCAAGACTAGGCAAAGGAAGAGGTTTTAGAGAAAGAGAATAGAGATAATATAAAAAACTAAAAGAAAAACTTGGATAGTATCCCAGAAGTCAAGGGAAAAGAAGAGGAAAATCAATAGAGTTAAATGTTACAGTGTGGTCAAGTAAAGGGAATAGATTAAACATGCAATCTGGACACCACTGTAGACTACTCTTAGTACAGCTTCAGCAAAAACATTTGACAAACATTGATACAGCACAACTATGTGCCATTTTAGCAAGGCCTTGTATCAAAATTAGAAAAGTTTAAAAAAAACCAAAAAGGGCTCCAGATGTAGCTTAGCGGTATAGCACTTGCCTAGTATAAATGAGGTTCTGGGTTCAATTCCCAGTGTGTGTGTTTCTCTCTCTCTCTCACACACACACATGCACAAATTAGTACAGTCATTATGGAAAACTAATTTAAAATCAGTACTACCACATGATGAAGCAAACCCACTTTTGGGTATATACCCAAAGGAAATAAAATCAGTATCTTGAAGAGATAGCTATATTTTAACTTTCACTATAGCATTACTCATAAGTTAAAAAATAGAATCCAAATGTTCAGTGATAGATTAATAGACAAAGAAAATATCTACATATGTGACAGAATTCTTTTTTGCCTTAGAAAAGAAGGAAGTCTTGCCATTGTGACAACATGCATTACTATGGAGGATGTGACACAAAGTGAAATAAACGAGACACAAGAAAGACAAATACTGCTAAAGTAAAATAGTCAATTTTATTTATTTATTTGTTTGTTTGTTTGTTTGTACCGGGGATCAAACTCGGGTCCTTGCAAATAGTCAATTTTAGAGAGCAGAATCATAGTTGGCAGAGGCTGGGAGAAGGGGAAAACAGGAAGACGGCAGTCAAAAATTATAAAGTTTCAGCTGGGTGTGGTGGCACATGCCTGTAACCCCAGCACTAGGGAGGCTAAGTTCATGAGTTCAAGGCCAGCCTGAGCTACATAGTGAGATCTTGTCTCACTCGCTCCACCAAAAAAACCCCCCAACAAATAAAAAAAGGTATAGGGGCTGGGGATTTAGCTCAGTGGTTCCGCTGCCTGCCTCACAAGCGCAAGGGCCCAAGTTTGATCCCCGGTACCAAAAAAAAAAAAAGGTATAAAGTTTCAGTTATCTAAGATCAGTAAGGTCTGGAGGTCTAATGTACAGCAAGGTGGCTATAGTTAATAATACTGTATTATATACTTGACATTTGCTAAGAGTGGCTCTTAAATATTTTTGAAAGAAAGAATGAAAAGAAAAAAAGAGAAAAGAAAGAAGCTATATGAGACAAGGGATATGTTTGTGGTGATCATTTCACAATATATATGTGTATCAAAGCTCAAGTATTATTTTTTAAATATGTAATTTTTATTTGTCAATTACTCTTCAATAAAGATGGAAAAATTAAATTTAAGAAGGAATAGTCTATGAATTTCTTAAAACTAGTCAAAGATTTCAGCTCTAGCTGTAATGGTTTAATTTTTAAAAAATATATGCATATGTGATAAAATCTTAGTTGTTGCTATCTTAAATGGTAGGAATATCCATATACACTTATTACATCATTCTTTATGTAGTAAAGTATATAGTTAAAAAAACTTTAAGATGTTAATTTATATACATGAAAAAACTATAGCTGAGAGAATTAAATGGCCTCTCATGTAATATCACTATTAAGTAATAAGTAGAAACACTTTCCATATCTTCTACCTCCAAAATGGGATGTTGCATGTCATAAAACAAAAGTTCGAACAAAGGATACAAGGAAAAAGGCTCTACGGATGTCATCCAGATACAGCTGTCGAAACTGAGTTATATCAGTATTATAGGAGAAATGGATACTGGTGAGCTGTGAGAGAAGAAACATTATTAATTCACAATAACAGCTGGCTTACATCTACCCTCAAAGGCAAACTTATAAAGACTGTTAATCATGGCTGGAAATATATCCCGTGCTAACACACAAGTCAACAATAAATCTTTTTTTATATCTTAATTATGCTTTACTAAAATCTGCCAAAAGGAAAATATGTCTTGAATAACATACTGAACAGAGCTGTAGTGTTAGGACATGTGTAATAAAAGTGAGAACTGGGTTTTTTCCTATTTGTCATAAACACTTCACTTTTAAATTCCTATATAATTCGCCCCTTTCAAAAATTTGATTTCTCAGAAAGTATCCTGATTTTCTTAAATTCAGGTATGGTATGAATTTAAAAGATATGGTAAAATTAATTCTCTGTTTCTTTGTTCTGTTAATTCTATTTGGAGAGAAATTTTATTTTTCATTAACAAAGCAAAATGCTTCTATCTTTGGTAAAATGGAAAGTCCTCCTAACCACAAAAAAGAATGCTAATGGCTAAATTTAAAGGAAGGACCCCCCACCCTCGTGTAATTTTCTAGTTAAGCTCTTTAGTAATCTTTTCTAGAAAAAAAATAGACTTGGTATCAGTTTAAAAAAGAATGTGACACAATGACTGAGTTCTGATGAAATATATCATATTGAGGACAGTTTCTGACCATTTACATTAATCTGATTAAAATTGTTCTTTGTGTATTAATATTCCAAACCTGAAAGTTAAAAACCAGTCGTTATTCAATATACTTTAATAAGGTTTCTTTTGTGTAAAAATTAGGTATTCTGAATTATCAGTTCCTTTCAATAAGCCTAACTGGAGGCAGTTAAGGATGGATCAACTATGAAAGTGTTTTTCTGTAACATATATTCATTTACCTGACCTCAGTACAATTGTAAATACTCTTATCACCAATTTCTCATTACCTTTAATTCTAAAAAAGACAAGACTTATCAGTTTAACTCAGCATGATAAAGTTGTCCTTAAAATTTGGCTAACTGGAGAGGGGAGGAGAGGGGAAAGGGACATAAAAATAACTAAGGTGTGCTATGTATATGTACCGATTCCCCATGATGAATGCAATCATTATGTACTACAAACATACGAATAAAAACAAAAATTAAAAGAAAATTTGATTGGCTCTTAGCCAATTAAAAGTACTCCGTGTTGCATAAAGTCTTTTATTGTAACAAAAGTTCTTTTAATTAATTTAAACATTCACCCTATTTTTAGATCATACCTCATATTCTGTCATCTTAGTGACTGTGACCTCAGGGCAAATCTTGGACTGTTCACCTACATTGATGTTCTTTATTATCAGTGATTCTCAAGTAATTACTATGAAAAGCCCAACTATATATTGCCTGAAAAACTATAAAATCATAATTGTCTGTGATAAGTGAGAATTTTACATACAAATTGGTTAACTTAAATACTGTCAAATAAAATTTACTAAATGCTAAATTAAATTTTCTTTAAATGTTAAAATTTTAAGTAGAATTTTTGATGATGTAACATTTCAATTTCCTTACAGTTCAAAGAATATTTTAGTATTTTCAAACACAACAATGACTTTGACAAGCTACCTTCTGTTTAGAGGAAACACCAGATTGTTGTAGGGTTTCTTGTTCCATGTATATCCAGATAAACATCAAACATGACAACACTAATGGAAAGAAAGCTTCATACCTAAGAAGTGGAAAGTGAGTGGAGGGAGGATAAAAATGAAAAGAAAAAACATTAAACTAATAAACATACAAATTTACACTGCAAGGGGCCAGTAAAACACATGAAAATATATTTGATCTTATCAATAACTGATATGGAAATCAAAACACTAATAATATCCTATTGACTTGTCATATTTATCAATATTAAAAATATGTTGAAAAAGTACAGTGAGGGCTGGAGATTTAGCTCAGTGGTGCTGGTGCCTGCTTTGCAAGCTCAAGGTCCTGAGTTCAATCCCCGGTACCCCCACCCAAAAAAGTACAATGAAAATGGAACTTTCATGCTCTTTATATACAAATATATACTTTCTAGAAGGCCATCTAATATTATGTATCAAGAATCTCCAAAATATTCATAAACTATCATCCAATAATACCACTTCTAAGAATATACTCTGAGAAATTAATCAGATGTATGCACTTTGATTCCATTGTTAATATATTTGTTGTAATATTGTTTATAGAAGGGGAAAAAGTGAAAAAAACCCCTACACATCTACAGGGGACTGAATAATACATGGCATATCTGCAGACTGGAGTGCAATGCAGATACAAAATACAAGAAAAATGTTCATGAGATAACATGGTGATGGAAAGCTTTCTAAACTGCTTCTATGCTGTAATCTAGAAATGCTCTAATACAAAGAGTACTTCTCATACTCTTTTAATCACTCGTTTGTGTATACTCACTATTAGATTATAAAATCTTTGAGAACTGTTTTGTCACCATGGCAGGTGTAGCTCAAAAGATTTTTGGGCTGGCGTGGGGAAGGCAGGGTTGAGAGAGGGTCTCATTATGTAGTACAGGCTGACCTCGAAGTTGTTAATTTCTCAAACCAAACTCAATCTTGTAATCCACCTCTCTCATCCTCCTGAGTGCTGAGATGACAGGTAAGAGCCGCTACCCCTGGCTAAGAAGTATTTTTGAATGAGTTACTAACATAATTGAAAGTTAAAAAACACGAAACGAAATGCTTTGAATTTGACCACAGGGCTGGGACAGCCCAGTGGTACAGCAACTGCTTAGCACATACAAGACCCTAGGTTCAAACCCAGCACTGGGAAAAAAAAAACCCCACAGAAGTCTACCAAAATTATAAAACTAAAACAACAGAGATTGGGCAGAAATATGAGAAAGCATACACAAATTGGTACATAAGATTAAGAATCCACAAGAATATAAACAAATGTACATGAGAAAATATAACTACAGAAATGTACAAAAGTGGTATTGTTTTCAGGCTATTAAAAGGGCATTTGATATTATTTGATGTTTTATTTTTCAGTACTGAGGATCGAACTCAGGATCTCACACTTGCCAGGCAGGCGCTGTGCCGCTGAGCTATATCCCAGCCCATTTTATATTACTTGAAAATGAAAATACCAAATATTGTTAAGGATATGACAAAATAGTACCCAAATGGTTTCTTAGCAATATTATAAAGTGACACAGTTTAAAAAAAAGTTCATTCCCTATGGCCCACCTAAACTATTGTGAGAAGTAAACAAAGGAAATATATAAACTATGTAAAAAGTTTATGCTTAAAAATATAGCTCAAAATATTATTTATGATAACAAAAGGTACAAACAGTGATTACAAAGAGGGGTGCCTAAGTAAATCAAGATGCATTCACAACAAGAAATACTAAGTATCTATTAAAATGGTGGCTAGGAAGCCTATGATCTATTTTGGAAAATTCTTCAAAAATAATGTTTGTTAAGTAGAAAAAAGATACAAAATAGTACAAGTACTATTAATTATATGTTTAAAAGACATATATTGAGCCAATACCAGAAGGAAATATACCTGAATATCAATAGGCAAAGTTAAAAATAATTTTGTTTCATACCCTTACTTTCCAAAAAGAATTGAAAAATAATATAGAATGCCTATCATCCTGGCCTTTCTTTAAATCATTTCAACTTCTACATGAGAGCTCGACAGCACCAAGCACCTCAAACTCTAGTCATTCTTTATCTCACACAATTCAAAACTTAACTCACAATACATAATTGTTCCATTTTAATTTTTTTTTTTTGGTACTGGGGATCGAACTCAGGACCTTGCGCTTGTGAGGCAGGCACCGGAACCACTGAGCTAAATCCCCAGCCCTAACTGTTCCATTTTAACTGTCTAATACTGTAAAAGTCCTCACTTTACAGCAGTTTATAACTCTACTGTATGCCTCCATTACAGTAATAATTTTCTCTGTATGTGTGTCTTGTGCTTAGGACACCAGATATGTGAAAAAAACAACCGTAGATTAATTAAATCAGAAGGTGCATTTGTGAAGCAAAAAAGGACCATGATTTTAAAAAATATTTGCAGTTATAAATGAAGGTATTTTTTCCTAATATATAAAAACACAAATTCTATAATTCTACAAATAGTGTTATAGATTTGTCTCCTTTCAAAAAACTATACACTATAATCAGTTTCTTGTGTAAAATATAGGTAAATAAAAATAAAGGCGAATAAATCAGAGATAATATTCCTATGGGACTAGACAACATTTTGTATAAAGTCTATAAATTTGAATAAAACATCAATAAAATATCATCATGGAGGAACATAATGACATCCTACTAACCCAGAATTTGTTGGTTTGGTTTCTGTACAAATTGAATAGGGCTCTGGGCCGGGGATTTAGCTCAGTGGTTCCAGCGCCTGCCTTGCAAGTGCAAGGTCCCAAGTTCAATCCCCGGTACCAAAAAAACAAATTGAATAGGGCTCAAAAGGCATTTAGAAAGGCATCCCTTTGCTAAGGGATATTATAAACAAAATTTCATAGGGAAATGTTTATCCAACTTAAGAGAACAAACTATTTTCAAGTATTACAATAGCTTCCATTTGCATAAAAATAAGTGCTGGATTAAAAAGGAATCTTTATTCATTAAATCATGATGCATTGTTAGAATGTAGGAATACTATTACTGCGCTCTATAACAAAGCTGCATTTCTTTAAATGTCCTATATTTCTGAATATTCACTAATTTATATAGACAAATGTCTAGATTACCCAAAATAGTGATGCTGAACCACAACAGGTGGATTATGTTTTGCAAAACTGATTTGACACTGAAAAAACGTACTAACCCACATGATTAGACTGTGCCGTTTCAACATACCCTGTTGAATTTTTTTACAAAGCTAAATATAGGTTCAGATGTTGAATAATTTATCTCTGCATTTATTAATAAGTTCATATTTGATATTAATACTCTGATTTTAGGCATGAGATTTCACTTTTTAGATTTTCTCAAAGTAAATTGAATATGATTATTAAAATCAATTTTGGCATCTTTTATGACCATTAAATTGACAGTTTAAAACACTGTAATACTCCAAGGTAAGTTACATAATTTTATTTTACTTAAAATTAAACCATAATTATTGCTCCTTTTTCTTTCCCTTGTTCATTTCTAATCCAGCAAATCATACCTATATCCGGGTTTGTTTATTTTTTTAATCTACTACACAGTCCTTTGAATCTGTTTATTGTCTTATAATTTAAAGATTCAAAAAAGAAAAGTATTTATTCATTATTAAGTGACTATGTATAAGTCAGCACATATTTCTGGAACTTGTTACTATGTAACCCAGGCTGGCATTGAATTTGGAATTTTCCTGCTTCAGCCTGCGGAGTTCTGGGATTATAGGTGTGTACCTATAATATTCAGCAATGTTATCACTCTTGAATAAAAATAAGTGGTTCTCACAAATGTCATTTCAAAGTTCAAAATCTCAAAGTAAGCCCATCTTATCAGATAAACAGTAAAAATTTCTATGATGTGTATATTACATCTTTATAGGTGTGGTCCACATCTGGTTAGGCAGGCAGAAGGAAGGTGTGGGGAGCTTTGGTGAAAGAAGGCAGTTTAGCGGCTCAATAATCATTTCCTACTGCTTCTTGACATTTTGGCTAAGATCAAGTGTAATAATCATTTCCTAGCTAGGGCCTCATGGGACCTAGGTCCCTTCGGATATTAGTCTACTGTGAAAAAATTTTGAGAGCATCTAATCTCGAGTTAAGACAATTAAACTTTCCAACTAAGCCTGGATCCAAAATGGCTTTACAAAATCATCAAAATTGCAAATAATCTGTTTATAGCACAGTGGTGAATCCCTAGTTTTAATCTAATTTGGATCAAGATCTTATATTTGGGGCAAAATTTGAACTATGAGTAATGTTAATTAGTCTGTTCTAATCAGCATTGTCATAAAGTAAACATTTCTCACCTTCATAAGGACTTAAGCAACAATGAAATAAAATTCAAAAGCAAGTAAAAAATTCTTTCCTTCAAGGTAGAGAGACAATATATAATTCTTCATTGAATTATAAAGAATGCTTCAGGATTCACACCAAATCAAGTTGCTGGATTATTTGTCTTTTACATGGTAAGTAAATTTCAATCTTAAATAAAAATGAATTCTTTAAATTTTTGATAAAATATTCTGAAAGTTCCTTGAATCAAAGAATTATTGGGCCCGTAATACATGTAAGAGTATGAATAAAAACAAAATATTACCTTCAAATGAGAAAGAAATGAAAGTATTTTCTTTTCTTTTCTTTTTTGGTGTGTGAGGGATTAAACCTAGGGTCTTGTGCATACTAAGCAATTACTCTACCACTGAGCTATACCCCAGCCCTAAAGCATAATTTAAAATGCACGAAAAGAATGCAACAAAATTGAAAATCTAAGTCTTTGATACTTAAAATTCTCTCATAATCTATCAGAATTAGGAGTTAAATGAATTTTAGCATTTAGTAAATAAACAGAAAAAGACTAGAGAAAATAGTGTGAAAATAATAAAAACAGAACATTATATATCAAGTTATATACAAAGCACAAATACTTTTATCCCTCAAGATTTAGAAAACATTTCCATTTCATACTAACAGAGAAAATGTCAATACATCATTTAAGATTGCTACTATAAAATTAAATTTTTTAAAAAGGGTATACCCTGTGCTTAGAAGTAAATAGGTTGACATCAAGGAAAGAAGTATGCTAAACAACCGCTGAAAGAGAACCGGAGAACTCAGCAGTGGCACAACCAAGGAAGAAGCTGCAATAAAACAAAGCAGATCAGTGCAAGGGATACAAACAATGTTAGTTTAGAAGTTCTAAATAATCAATTGTCATTTGTGGCATTTAGTATCTTATTACCTTTACCATAAGGCCATATTTGCCCTAGTGAATTCTGTAAGAAATACAAAACTTTACATGTTTAATTAAAATTATATCTTATTGTTTGAACTGTATTGGCTTAAATAACTCTAATTTTCTCAATATATATTCAGAATAGATCACTGTAGTAATATTAATTCCTAAATAATTTGTTATTTTCCAATGAAATAAAATATAATACTTAGGCATTTATATCTTGACCCAAAGACAATTTACTCCCTAGAAACTGATTTTCCCTAATCTCCTACTCCCCTAAGGTTTCCCACATAAAGTATCCATTGCCAGTTGTAATATGCCACCTGGAAAACTAGAATGACTTCATCAAGCATGACAGCTGTAATATGAGTCATAATAACTGAAGCAATCTTCCCCTATAGGATAAGAAAAGCAACTACCTCAGTACAGACAAGGCAGATGAAAGGGAGTAGACCAGTAATACATAACTTCACTCCAAGTCTGTTTTGGAAAGTATAATGGCTTGTATCTGGATGTCCCCCAAAGCCTCATGCAGTCATAAGCAGAGCTTTTTGGAGGTGGCTGGATGTAGGATATGTGATGCTGGGATCAAGGATGTGATGTTGGGATTGATTCATGATGTGATGCTAAAATTAAGGCCACCCTACCTTGGGTGTGTGTGCTACCCATCCTAAGAGTGGGTAGCCTGGATAGGACATAAAGGACAAAAAGAGATTTTTTTGTTTGTCACTTGCTGCTTGCTGCTTTTGCTGTCTTCTGCCTGCCATGAATTGTTTCTCCTTTGTGATGGCCCTCTACCATGCCACCCTGTCTTGGAGCCAGCTGATTATGGACTGAAACCTCTACAAACTGTGAGCCGAAATAAACCTTTCTTTCTTTAACTGTGGGTGTCAGGTATTTTGTCTCAGCAATGAGAAAAGTAACTAATACAGAATTGAAAAGTACTTAATTTCTTTCTTTTTTTTTTTTTTTTGGTACTGGGGATCAAACTTGGGACTTTGGGCTTGCGCGGCAGAGGCCGGAACCACTGAGCTAAATCCCCGCCAAGTACTTAATTTCTTAACTCCCCTAGTGCACTAATGTATGGAGATTTGCGATAGAATCCTACTGAATTATTCATCAGTTGCTTAATTGTGGGGCAAGTTTGTTAATTTATCTAAGGAGAAGCTTACCTGCCTTGCAAACAAGGATAATATTAAAAAGTTGTGTGGTTTAAAAAACAATTTTACCTCTAAAATGCTTCCTGAGCACAGTGCCTGGCACACAGTCCTTATAGTAACTGTTAGCTGTTATTATTACTACTAATCAATATCTCCTAAGTAAAAATAATTTCACTCAAAGTCAAATTCTTGCAAGATTTAACACTGTGCAAGTTATATTTCCGTCAGTTCAAATGAGATCTATTCTGTAAAACTGAATATTTTGTCCTAGTTTTATTTTTATATAAAGGATTGATAAGGTGATAATAGGGGATTAAGAGTTCCCATTCTGAACAATATAAATTGTAATCAGTATTGTAACATATTACCCATTTGTGTATCACACAGCATGTTAGGAAAAAAATGCACATTGTAGTTTGGCCATGTTAGTGCTTGGTTGAGATCTTTGGAGATACTGAAAATCTATCTATGAGTCAACTATTTCATGTCTCATATTATTTAGTAAGTATCCTCTACCAATCTCAAGGAAGAAATTTCATATTTAAAACATATACTCAGAGAGACATTAATGTGATTGAAGAATAGCAGTAGATACAGTCTCAATTTCCTTCTTACCCCTCCAAAACAACAATATATAGGATACTTCAAATAGGGGAAAAATATAGGAAATATTACAGAATATGCACATATGTTGTACTACAACATCAGATAATATGACAGAGTAGAGCTCAAGTTTAAGAAATAAAGGTACTTTAAAAATTGCAGGTTGAGGTTACAAATAACTACATCCTACAATATTCCTTCTATATACTTATATATTCATTTTTGAGGGAACCATAGCTATCATATTCCCTCATTCCACATATAAATACAGATATAAATATGGAATGAAGGAAGGCAAGATAGAAACTTTGTGACTTACTAGAATTAGAGGTATCAATGTAAAACTATAATTTCTAAAATACAGGTGTGTATAAACAAGTTTATGTGCATATATATTAAATATACATATCTATTAAAAAAGATGTTTTAGGCTGGGACAGGCTGGACGATGAGGTAAGCCTAAAACATCTTTTTAATACAAGACAAGAAGAAAATGCACAAAAAATTTGGGAGGGGAGAGAGTTCTATTACAATACAGGTTAAAGGAACCCTTCTTCCAAGTCTGAGGCAATATAAATACAAGATAACCAATAGTAATGAATTAAAAACCTTTTAAAAATGGGAATTCATGAGTCCACATTAATAATAAATAGAAATGTGAACAAATGAATGGGGGATATGAAGAATTTTTTTACAGTTAAATATTCAGAGCCTTCTCATGTATGCAGAGATAGTGTCTAAATTGGGACATCTTCATATCATACCCACAGATTGAATAAGGCAAAGATTGGATCAGGAAACATGGGTGAATGCTAAATTTCAAGAGAATTTTGATTAAAAGGATACTGATCATCTTAGGGGTATCTTCTCCAGAGTTACTGAGAGAGAAGAAAAACAGAAGTCTACAATGGACAACATCTTGATGTGTTAATAAAAATTAACTTCACTAATAAGGTATAGATCATGTGCATCTAGACCTAAGAAGGATATAACACAATTACATCATTACATAGTATATTCTGGCCAGTAAAAAATAACCTGAGAGTTTTTTTAAGACAGGTTCTTGTTCAGAGAGCCTGCAATCCTCCTGCCTCAGCCTCCTAAATGTCTGGGAGTATAAGCATGTGCCATCACACCTGGTTATAACCTAAATTTAATCATAAGGAAACATCAGCCAGCACAAATTAAGTAATAATATATGGACAGAGGTGCTATATATTTTTAAAGTCAATGTAGTAAAAGACAATGGAAGGAAAATACCATAACAGTCATTACTAGATCACTGAAACAATTAAAATAAGGTTGACAGAACAGAAAAAAATTAAATCAAGTGTTTGAAAATTTTATACACATACATACACACAGCTAAAGGACAAGTACAAGCTTTGAGGATGGCTTTTTGTAATTCTTGTTCTATTTCTTGAAGTTTAAAAATGAGATATATCAGGCCAGGAATTTAGCTCAGTAGTTCTGCTGCCTGCCTCGCAAGCACAAGGTCCCAAGTTCGATTCCCGGTACAAAAAAAAAAGAGAGATACACCATAATTCTTCTTTTTTGTTTTTTCATCTTCTTTCATCCTTATTTCTTCTTAAAAGAAATAAGATACATCTTTAAAAAATGCAATACAATGATACTGCAGTTTATTTGGTTAACAAGAAAATGAAGGAACTGAATAATAAAATGAGATATAATAATATGTGGACAAAGTCTGTTTTTCCTTTTTTAAAAAAGTCATCGTTGTGGTTTATTCACAGGTAGCTAAGAAAACTAAGGAATTGAGCATGGCTACACTGCAAATACATGAGGTTATGTGGTGAGCAGTACCTGAGTGGTTACTTATGCATACTGATCTCCAGTTTCTTATTTGTCATGTATTGTTCATCTGCTGATTATCATATATGACTACATATTTGTGAAGTTATATGATATTGAAAGACTTCTCTTAATATTATATCCTCTGGTCATAATATTTTAGTTTTCCATGAATTTCACAACATGTCATATGAAATATCATCACATATAGTCACTTCACTAAAATATTAGCTCCTCTACCCATGCAGAATATAAGCCCTAAGATGACAGAAATTTGGTCAATCTTTATTAACTTCAAGGAACAGAACTTTTCAGAACATACTATACATGAAACACATTTTTTGAATATGAAGTAATCACTGATACTGTTCATGCAGAATCAAAGTAGTAATTTTTATAATTAAGGTGATTCAAAAGATAATTTCTATAGAATGCCCTTAATGAAATGAAACATGAAGTGAAAATGAAAATTTACACGTGTTTTAAATATGTGTGTATAGACAGATAAATAGCAATTATTGACCAATAATAACTTCCACTTAAACAACGACTGAGAAGGTTAGAAAATGGGCAAACCAAAAATTCAGGAGATACATGTCTGCTTCCTATTGCATTTTTTTTTTTCTTATTTAAAAAAAATTTTTTTTTCCTATTCCATTTTTAAGTCAGCTTGGGCTTTAAAATTAATCCTAGAAAAACTATTCCTGTCTCTTAATACTCTTTTCAAGCTGAAGTTCCATTCAAAGATCTTTTCCTTTATAATGATGAACAATAAAAAAATTAAGAAATGTTAAATTGTATGCCAAATCATTCACAGGCATAACAAAGTATCTTTTTCACATGAAAAATCTTGACTTAAAAGCTTGCTCTTGTCTTCCAGTTGGAAGGGAAAGCCTAGGTCCTTAAATTACATGTTTACTTCACGCATACATTCCAATGTTCTTAAATAAGGGCATTTCATAGAGGAATATGCTTTGAAATATTTAACTATCTCTATAAAATGTGTAATTTGTGTTAGAAGGTGAATAACCAATGTTATTTTCAGAAAAGGAAACAAAATTTAACTACTTCCTACTTTCTGTGTAAAAACTGAAAATTTATGAAATGACATGAAAATTAATAATATGATGTCCTTCGTAAAACCTTCTTTTCTAGTCACTTACTAGATTTTTATCAGATGCTAATAAATACACAGCCTTGCTATCAGATTATAAAGATTTTATCAAGTAATTCTAATTAACATGTGTACTCACAAAAGATCTAATTTTTTGTCAAATTCAGCAAAATAGAAATAATAGCTATTATTATTTTCTAGCAACAAAATTATTTATTTCAATAACAATAATATAAACATAAAGGGATCATTTTAAGATATCTGATGTGATGTAAATTATCTCATTTGGTTTGACTGGCTGCTTACCTAATGTTGCCCAGCTCAGAATTTGATTTGTAAGAGGTAGTCCTTGTTTCTTGAGTAGACTACTATGGGTACTGTACACAATATACATAGAAAGCACTGTATTCATCATCTGAAAATACAAACAAAACAGGTCAAGAAAAGAGAAGGTAATGAAAGACTGTATGTTAGAAAAAAATGCTGGGAACAACTGGCATCTGGCCAAAATGCCATTGAAATTGGACAAGGTCACCTTTTTCTGGCCAAGGCTGACAGTACTTCTGTATGAAGCTCCTTTGTAACTATGACAGGAAGCATTTCAAGAGCATTTTGGCATACAACATCACACTGTTTCTATTTATAATATTTGTTGTAAAAATTAAAGGTTTCTTAAATTATGGAAAAAAAGAGGGTAAAATGTATATACTTTAGTATATATGGTGTAGTGCCTTTACCCTAGGGCCACCACCACAGTTATACTGATTTGTTCATTCAAAACATTTTTGTGGTCTAAATATTCGCCTGGTACTGAGAATACACAGAGCATAATTCTTCAGAGAACATTTACAAGTTAGTGTAGAAGCTGGTAAACTACAATGTGTAGGCTGGTGATCTGTTTTTATACATTTGTTTTGTTTTGTTTTGTTTTTGCGGTACCAGGGATTGAACTCAGGACCTTATGCTTGTGAGGCAGGTGGTGACGCCACTGAGCTAAATCTTTGGCCCTTACAAATATTTTTTTTTCTTTTGGTACCGGGGATCGAACTCAGGACTTTGAGCTTGTGAGGCAGGCGCTGGAACCACTGAGCTAAATCCCCAGCCCCTATAAATATTGTTTTATTAGAACATAATTACATTCATTTATATGTTGTTTCTCTTTGCAGTAAATAGTAGAATTGAAAATTTACAACACACTCCATATGATCCACCAATCTAAAATTTTTACTCTCTGGCTCTTTAGAAAAATGTCTGGTTAACCAAAGTAGTAGATCAACTGCCATTTTTAAACAGTAAGGTAACAGCTGGGCATAGTAGCACATTACTGTAATCCCAGGACTCTGGGAGGCTGAGATAGAAAGATTGTAAGTTTGAAACCAGCTTGACAACTCAGCCAGACCTTACCTCAAACTAAAAAATAAAAAGGTCTGGAGATGAAGATCAGTGGTAGAATACCCCTGGATTTAACCCCCGTATCTCTCTCTCACACACACACACACACACACACACACACGCACGCACACACAAATACACCCCAAAGCTAAATTACGATTCTAAACAAAGTTCTCTTAGTTCAGATTAGCAGTTTCATTACCAAATCCTAAGAGCTATATTTAATTACGTTTATATTTTCAGTAAATTAAGAAGCAAAATTGCTGTTAATAAAGCTATGACACAATCTTAGGATTCTTTCAGTTTTAAGACACATTCACTTTAGAGATATTAAAATACAAAAAACAAGTATCTTGGAATCAATAAAAACGTACAATAAAATATGGCACAGGAATTACTGTAAACCAATAAAGCTAAGGCAAACAAGAGCTTTGCAATGGACTTACCAAAAACTCAGGGGTATTTCTAACAAAGCTGTAAGAATTTTAGCACATTGTTTCCTCCTCTGGAGTGAGAGTCAGAAACACTGACTTCTGTCAAAGTTTGCATTATTATAGGAGAATTCTGTCAGAGCTACTCTGGCTTCAAAGTAACCTTGGTCAGTGTACCATTTAAAATGAAACATATGTTTCAGTGGCTTGACAGGATCTTTGACAAAAGTGTTTTTTCTTTTTTATAAGTTCTCTGTTGCTTTCCAAGAATAAATTTAGCTTGTGATATCATCTTTTAAGTATGGCATATTTTTATAACAGACTGTTTTTGGAAATACTGTATTTTCTATTATTCCAGCTTTGATCTGAGGAAATTTTTTTAGAAGACTCATGGATTTTATTTTGGGTCAGTGTTCTAGATGTGGTTATTTATACGTTTTCTTAAAAGTGGTTTCCAAAGGAATTTATAAAATATATATAATTTAATTCTCACAACTCTATTAGATATTATCTCTACTCACAGATTAAAACAAGTTAAAATCAAATTACTGAAAATTGTACATCTAGTATGCAGTATAACTGGGCACTGACCCAACTTTGAAAGATCAGGTTTAAAGTTCTTTTTACTACAATAAAACTACCACCCAAGCTGAAGTTTATTTTCTTGTAGCACATCATCTGAAGTCTTAAATTGGCTGTTCTTCCAACACCCTAGGTTGTTTTCATTTCAAAGAATCTTGCCTTACATGAGGACTATACAGACACTTGGCACAATGGAAGCCCTTTCATCTTATGTTCTGGTCAGTATAGATGTTTTGTAAGTCTCCCCAACCTCTGCTCTCTAAGCATCTTTCAGTTGCCTCTTGTTGACTGTTTTGTATTTCTTACATTTTAGAGAACATACGTCTATGTAGTAGCTTAAACAGAAAACTTCCTTCTTAGCTGGTATATATTGAGACACATTACTCAATGGCATCCTAAGGACAGATTAAACACAACTATATGATCACTTCTGTATATCATTAGAATAACACAGCATAGAAAAATCTGTAACTGACCTGTAACAGATGTACCAATAGCTCTTCCTTTCCAAAGCTAGTTTTTCTTTTCATGAGAGATGTCATAACAAACAGAGATAGTAGAAGAACCAGCAAGCCTGCACCCATTCTGTTTCAAAATACAATTCACAATTTTAAATTTTCTTAAGATATTTATTGGACACATCATGTGAAAACATGAAGCATTTAACTCTAATGTAGAGCTTCTTAATCATTTTGTTTAATCAAGCAAAAAAATGGATACATGGGCTTAACAGGAAATAATAAAAATCTTGAGATAAAGATACAATTATTTTTAATATCTTTACCTTCTTTCTACAAATAAAATTTAAAAAAATTTTACATAAATCAAGTACTATAATTCTTAGTCTGAATTGAAGAAATTTACATAACACAATAAAAAGACAGTTAAAAATACATTATAGCATCTATAACATACATTTATGACTGTGTACTAACAAGATCTACATTTATAATGTAAATTATTTCTAGCAGGACAAACAGCCCCTTTTCTTCATTGACTTTGGTGCTTTCCTCAGCTATCCTGGCTAAATGAAGGGTAGGACAGTGATCACAAAGGTCGTACGTGGGTGAATACATTAGTATACATTTATTTTATCCAGTGATGAAGCAACAGATAATACTTTTCAAAGACATAGTAAGGCACTCCTTAATCCCAGCACTCAGGAGGCTGAGGCAGAAGGACTGCAAATCTGAAGTCAAATGGAGTACACAGTAAGAATCTGTCTTAAAAAAAAAAAACCCTAGAAATAAAAAGCAAAAACAAAAAACCCCACCAGATACAGAATGGTTCCTGAAGTCAAAGGTGACTGATAGCAAGGAAATGCTGCACTATTGCTGAGCTCTCTCTTTCTTTTTAAAAATGTGAACAGTGTAATACCACTGAAATTCTGTTCAAGACAGAATCTGGAACTCAAAACTAACAGAACTAAGAGGAAAGCAATTGGTTTAAAAGAAACAGAAAAGACCAAAAGTCAGGGCTAGCTACTTAAAGAGAATGCCAAGCAGAAATTCCCAGGAAATTGTTTGGTTTTTGTTTTCAATTCTTTAAATATACTGAGAGTCTTAAGAAAAGAAATATTAATACATTCAACATGGACTATGTTAAAACAGGGAAAATATGATGAAGATTGTTTTATCTTTTTCTTTTCTAAAAAATAATGTGGCATTTTAACTCATTGGCAAATGGGTTTTTTATGTGGGTTTTTGTTTTTTTTTGGTACCGGGGATCGAACTCGGGACCTTCCAATAGCGAGGCAGGCGGTGGCACCATTGAGCTAAATCCCCAGCCCCGCAAATGGGTTTTTTCACTTTAGCAGAGAGGGACATTACAGCTGTGTTAGGCACAGTTTTGTTTTTCCCCTCTAATTTTATCCTTAAATGTCCCACATATGTATCTTTGTAATTTTCTAAAGAATGGAACTGCTATGAGAGATCCAATGGAAAGAAGAAATTTCTCTATAAATCAGAAATTAAAATAAAGAAGTTACAAATACAATTAGTTGGAAACTAACATAAATTTAAAATCACTGAGCAATTAAAATTTATAGAGTGAAACAACATAATTAAAATAACACATAAACTGTATTTTTATATTTTAATATTTATTTGCTTCCTGCATTCATCTTAATAGAACATGCAAGTGGCAAATTTCTATGAAGATCATTTATAAAATTTCTTTTCCTTTTAGCATATGATAAATTCTGTTTATGTCACTGCTTGCACAGGACTGATAGGTAGAAACATAAAAGAAAGGGGCTTCACAGAAACAGCAAAAGAGCTCACAGAGCAATCTGAAGCAAGAAATAAGTGAAAATTTTTATTTGAGTTGATTTTTTCACCTATTTATAGTTTACAACAGCTGTAAATGTTTTAACTTAGTAACACTCAAAGTATGTCTTAGTATGGTTTTAGAATTCAATACAATTATTTTGGGCTCTGCTAAAAAACTGACTTCCTGGGATAGTTCCCTACCTACTTCATGTTGGTTTCCTTGAACAAATGAGAAAGGTGTAAAACATCTTAAATTAGCATATATGTAAATAAATATATAGTTCTTATTCTGTTAAAAGAGATATACTCTAAATCTCTTAAAGATTAAAATGTTTTTAAATGCTTACAGAGTTCAGAAGAAAGTAACAAAGACGTTTATACAGTTAGAAAATAAAAAAATGTTAAATGAAATCAATCACTGAGTACAGTAAGCAGGCACGTGTGTGGTAGGATATTTAACTACCTAACCTATACGTGGTAGGTTATTTAACAATAATTTAGAAGTTGGGTTAAAAACAAAGGTAACTGATTATTTGACAGATTTAGTTCCATCATACTAAGGAGAAATAAATATACCAGCAGAAGGAAGAATGCAGGTGAAGTACACAGTATTTTCATGCAATTTGAATGACTAAACTTGGAATAGTTTTCAAAGTAAATAATTTCCTCCCATGAAAATCTTTAAATTCAGATTAGGATAGGAGAAAATTTTCATTTTTTCTAAGATATTTTGATGTGAACATGCTCAAAAGCAAAGATAGGGGTAACATAATAGTTTTGGCATCTTTTTTATTTTTTTTTTTTTCTTTTCTTTTTTTTCCTTTTTGGTACCAGGGATCGAACTCAGGACCTTGTATTTATGAGGCAGGCAGTGGAACCACTGAGCTAAACCCCCGGCCCCTTAGCATCTTTTTTATATTAGCAATGGTTTCTTACATGAAATTAAAATTTTCATCAATTCCCCAACATGTAAAAGAAAGAAGACATAAGTCTTTTTTGGGGAGGGTGGTATTTTAAGGTATCACTGGCAGAATTTCATTCTTTGTGAAAGCCTAGAAGCATCTCCAAGGAGACTAAACAATGCTCAGGCCTAGGCTAAAATCATGACTAATAATTTGATATTAATATTTTAACTTTCAGTTTATTCATGTGAGTTAAACTCATAAACAAGATTAGGTTCAAATTTCAGGGTACTGAGAAAAAATTATATTTAAAAGAAAAGAAAATACTATTCATACACGAGAGAGATATCTGGCACTCGACCTACGACAGGCATCAGTGGGAATACTGCCAGGAGCAAACAGAAGAAAGTCCAACTCAGGGAGGTGATCTAAAATCAAGAAAAAATGTTATCTTTAGCCAAATATGGTATAAAAAAACTGTTTTCAATGTTTCACCAAGAATATGTAAAATTAAAGGGGAAATGTAAAACTTTTTAGCAGTTTACTTTAAAAAGTAATATGGTTATTTTGTGAAGAGACTCGTATAGTAGTTATAGTATTGGGCTCAATGTGAGCATTATCTTATTTAATTCTCAACAACCCGAAGAGACAAGTTTTATTATTCATAACATGTGAGATGAGGAGACTGAGCTCAGATAAGTTAAAATACAAGTAATACCAGGTCCTCAACTAGTAAATGAAACAGCCAGGATTTAATCTTGGACCTGGTATTTCAAAGCAAATGTCATATTCAATTCATATTATATCATATGTTGATGATGACAGCTATAAGAAAACTGGCCCAACTAATAACATGACTTAGCCAAGCAGGGAAATAAGACTACTTTTATAATTAGATTAAGAAAAAAATGATTAGTAAGCCCATTAACTAGAGATTTTTATAAGTTATTAGGCAGAAAGAAGATATTTTTATCTTCTTGCTATCTTCATCAAAAAGCATCAAAGTGGAAACATAAAAATGTTCTTTGTAGAAGTATATTGTAATACCCTGCCTAGCTAAAGGAAGAAAATTAGAATTATATATTTTATCGGTTTTTTTGGTACCAGGGATCGAACTCAGGACTTTATGCTTGCAAGGCAGGTGGCGGAACCACTGAGCTAAATCCCTGGCAGAATTATATATTTCAAAATCTATTATGAATACATACTTCTCTAGAAAAAAAATGGAATGGCTTAGGGCCAGAAGGAAAGTGAGTCCTCTGACTCCTAAGCCACTGTGCTGCCCTGGGCCTTCTTCATCTAGAAACCTGAAACTAAAGGAAAACAGGGATGTACTTCACAGAAGGATGAATCACTGCTTCTCTAGCATTTCAAGTACTGCATAACAGGCTCATCTTGATATGAAAATTTAAATTAATCATTGAAACTTAAACCGAATCACTGAAATTTAAACCTGGTCTCCCTATCAAAAGCATCAGGTTCTTTATGTAAGAATAAAATTTACCCTTTTGTTTAAAAATAAATAATTCTTTAAATTAAACACATATCAAAACAAAGTAGTTACTAATCTGCCCTATGTCAAAATGAATATTTATACCTTTGCTTGAATCCACAGCTGAGTGAGAAATGGCCAAATCGCAAATGCAGTAAGTCCAGCTGTAAGCATACAGCGGTAGAAAAAACTGAGAACCTAGAGATATATTCCAAAGAAAAATGAAAAATTAGATCATTTAATATATATCAAAGAAATCTGAAAATATTGCAGTTGGTGTATTACTTACCAATACTTCAATTCCCAAAATAAAGACTAACAGATAACAAATAAAACAGCTCAGAGGAAAGGTCAACAGTGATGCAACAAGATCTTGAATAACTTGAAACCTGTTTCAAAAGATTACAAAAAAGAGTTTTATAGTATGTATTAAATTTTTTTTTTGATACCAGGGATCAAACTCAGGACCCTGCACTTGCGAGGCAGGTGCTGTGCCACTGAGCTAAATCCCTGGCCCTAGTACGTACTGAATTTTAAAATTATATATAGTAAAAAATAAAACTTTACACAAAACCAAAAATCGGGAAATTTTCTACTTACAGATTATTCAAAAACTAAGATAATCTAATAGATTTGTTTCAGTAGTTTTACTTACGTTTTTAAAAATAAGTATTTTAGGAAAAATATCTCTGAATTAATATGAAAATCATCACAAAGGTTTGCTTGATTTTTATAAACATTAGTAATAAAAATGTCTTATTTGATCTTCATTTAAATGTATGTACATTAAATTACAAACATCAGAAATAAAATGTAATGAATCCAAAAGTATACAAACTGAAAAATCTTTTAAAATTCACCTAGATAACTTTATATTAAAAATCTCAACAGTTTTAATAAAATAAAAGTAAGTTTTCCTAACTTAGGTAGGGAAAATCTTAACTTCATTTTTTTTTTGTACCAGGGATCGATTAACTGCATTTTTAACTGAGCTAAATAACCTTTTCCAAACCCAATTTAAGATATTACTAATTATATACTAATTGTGAATTTATAACCATAAAAAATGAATTACATACTCGAGTACTTTTTACTTTTCATTATTGAGAAGAAAAACTTTAGCATTTGTAGTACAATAAGTAGGTAATTTTCAAAGGTCAGTAGTATTTGGCTTATGACCTTTTTCTGATTGAGAAAAATGGCTGCAGAATGTTATCAAACTATTAAGGTGCCATGTAAGGAAGCAAAGCTAATACTCATCAAAAGGAGAATGTTTCTTTTGTTTCAACAGTGAAGAGGCCCAGAGGAACAAAAGGTGGCTCTTTATAATCATTTAGAAGATTTTTTTCCTAAAAGAAAACTGAATTTTATGTTTTATTTTCAATATAATCTATCAAGAAGATAAAGATGGAATATAATATACTTTCAAAATCAATCACATGTTCCCTTAAAGTTTAGATAAACATGTTACTTCATAATTAGGATACTGAATAATTCAGGGTGAGTTCTATGTAGAACAGAATTTCTATAAGGATAAAACCTTTCAAAAAATTGTAAAACCAGAGAAAATGACAGTAGAAAAAATATGAATTAAATAAGCATATCCAACAACCCTGTTTTTTCAAATTTTTTCATATGTCCTGTATCTTTTTCTTTATATAAAAATAGTTATTTTAAACACTTTAATACTATTTTTATTTTTTATATTTTTAATATTTTAATTATTTCTAATACCCCTTTTTAAAGGATGGAAAAGTGGTCAAAGCTAAAGTCATTAAATATTAGAATAAAAATATGCACAACATCACAATATACATGTTAGCCAATTTTGAGGATGTCCTTACTTTTGGCTCTCATTCCTTGGTCTGTTTTAGGGGTATAGTTTTCTGAGAGGATACTTTGATGAAAAAGGCTAAGCTTAAATTCTAGTTTACAAATGCAAATACAAAAATCCACAAGCTTTCTAACATGATTCTGGCTGCCTCTGAGCATGAACTAGTACATTTTAATGGTTTTAAAATGTTCAAAACTCACCCAAAAGTCTTACTTTTGAAGCCTTTTACAGTGGTATAAAAAACATTTCGAGTTCAACTTGTGAGAAAGTACTTAAAGGTAGAACTATAATATATGTGAATAATATGGACTAATCTGTCAGTATTCATTATTTGTATTAGACTTGACTAACTACAAAGTTTTATTTATCTAGCTTTACATGAAGACCAGCAACAGAGGAACAAAAATTTACAGAAAAAGGAAAACCATGTAAATTTCTTCATAAAGCATGAAAACATCCTGAAATGTGAGGTGATAAAACAAGTTCAAATTGTAAGTTATGTTAGGCATTGTACAATCAATATTAGATATGTTACTTTTATTCCAGGTTTTTCTTATAAACAATACACAAAGAAGGGAAGAAGGTCGCTGCAACCTCAGGGTAATAAATGAAGTCAAAAGGAAAGGTACAACAAAAAGGATGTTTTTAATTCAACATTTTTGCAGTTATAAATGAAGTGAGAGGGTTTGGAGATTTGAGAGTATTAAAAATAACTTTGATGACATGCTACAGAAATCTAATACATTTTAAATACAGGCTTAACTGTCAATTAAGGGGAAAAATAAGGCAGCATTACTTACTCTCGTAGAACTGCATACCATATTGGCACTGGCAACAAGCAATATACATAGTAAGTCCAGGGACAGGCTTGAATCAGCAGGAAAAATACTACTAAAATGCTAGTAGCTACAAAAATACATGGCAGAAGACGGCTTGGTTTCTGAAAATTAAACAAAACATTGAAACACTTCCAAACCCATGGTAATTGATAGGTTTTTAAAAGAGGCTTTATAAGATGAAAAACACATATTACTTTATTTCAATGGTTCTAAGAACTACATTAAAAAAAAACTTGTCATTTAGAAGAACATATTAGAGAAGGGACTTTTACAAGTCTGAACATATTTTCTCCTAGAAGCAATTTTATAAATATTGACTGAGTTCTCTGGCTAGCTTACAATAAACTTTGAGACTTAATCTTCCTCTAGAACAATGTTTTCCAATCTGACACCCTGCCCAGGCTTCTCTTTACTGTCAACTACAGTAGGATCATTCAGTCGTATCTGTTCCTCCCAACCACTTGTGAAACAAGGGAATTCCTTGGTATAAGACCCTGGTGAGGGGCCAGGGATTTAGCTCAGTGATTCCAGCGCCTGCCTTGCAAGCTCAAGGTCCAGAGTTCGATCTCAGTACCAAAAAAAAAAAAAGCCCCTGGTGATAGCCTTCTTGGGCGAGGCAGGCCAGTGGAGGCTGTAGGTCATGTGAATCAAGGACAGGCATTCCAATGACTGAGAAAAGGACTCATTTATGGGGAGGCTGTTGACACCACGAGTAAGAGTACTAGGATATGAAGTAGGTGTCAGAGGGGAGTATGTAGTATAAGGACTCTAGAAGAGGTGAAGTATCCCTGGAGAGAAGAAAAAGGGGTTAAGAAAAGGAATAAAAAGGGAATGTGGTGCTCTTTTGCTTTCAAGTTTTCACTCTGTTTTTCCCTTGCTTTGTTAGTCAATGCTAAATAAAGTGAGAATTAAGAACTGCCTCTGGATGTAGGGAAATTTAGAGAGGAAAAGGAAGAGCTTCTTTCCTTCTTATAGTTCTTCCCTACTGGCAAAAAGTGTTATAGAAAAGTAAGAAATAAGGATAAATTATGGTATGATTATTAAAAAAAAATGGGCTAAAACAGTATTGTAACTAAGTTTAGAGGCAGACAGATCAGAATACATTTCCTGGATCTGATACCTTTTCGCTGTGTGAATCATAAATAAGTATAAAACTTTTTTGAGACTTCGTTTTACTCCATCCATAAAATGGGAATAATAATCTCATATTTAACAAAACTAAAACAGAGGTTGTCAGATGAAGTCTCTAAAGCTGAAGATGACTGAGGCAGTTATTCATTTTAAGTGCTGAGAACTTCTTTTGAGAATGGTAAAATAATATGAAATGAAAGTATCTGAATGCCTGAGGGTACAACTCAGTGCTAGAGCATTTGCCCAGCATGTGTGAGTCTCAGGTTTGATACCTAGCACTGCTGTACCTTAAAAAGTGAAATGATTATCTAAAAAAATTTTGAAATTTTAGAGTCAATACAATATAGTATAGTTAATCTTTTGATGCACACAAGACTGAGAATTGACATCTATTTGTAGGAAACTACATCATAAAGAATCAGGTTCTGCTCATCCTACAAAGGCAATAAAATTGAAAGGATTTTAAATAAGAGTGAGGATATTTTCCACTTAATCTTGAATTGATCCCTGGCTCCCCCCAAAACAACAAACTATGTCTTGTGAGTATTTCTTTATCCAAAAAACACTTAAGTTACACACTTAGTGCTATCATCTCTACTGAGTTCCATCTTTCAAGGAATTTAAATCATACAGATGGAGACACGAGAATTTAAATCACACAAGTGGAGACACAATAGTTTATGGGGTTAATATTTTTTATTTTTCCAAGTAACATGAGACCAAGGGAAAGCAATAAAGTAAACATGCAAAAAAAATATTTAGTTGTAAAGCAAAAGACGTCAGAACGAGCAAAAGCAAAGGAGAAGCTAGGGCCAGGGATTTAGCTCAGTGGCACTGTGCGCCAGCCTTGCAAGCGCAAGGTCCTGAGTTCGATCTCCGGTACCAAAAAAAAAAGCAAAGGAGAAGCTAAGAGTATATCAAAATTAAATACAAAGCTCAATTACGGGGAGTTGTGGAAAATTACATTTCAAGGCAAGAGACTAGTCATTGTACTTTCCTGTAATAGCAATAAATTAAAAGTGATCTCTAGAATCTGGGGGATACAGTCATGTAGAAGTGACATAAGCTTTGGAGTCAGACCCAAATCTAATTCTGAGGCTGCCATTCTATTTGCTTGTCAATTTGAGAAAACCATTTAGCTGTTCTGAAGCTCTCTTTCCTCATCTAGCAATGGAGGATAATTGTTGTAAGCTCATTTCTCCCTCCCCTACAAGCCCTCTATCCACTTGTAGCTCTTCCAAGAAGATACCATACTCCTTTCCGGGCACATCACATGCTGTTCTCTCTGCATGTTCGTTTGTTCTCTCCCCCTACTCCCCACTCCCTCCTTTTCTTCCTCCCTCCCTCCCTCCTTCTCTGTCTCTTTTTCCCTATGAGGCTGCTCTACCTATCCTTTATGATTGTACTGTGGCAATAACATCCTTTGCGAAGCCTCCCTATACCACCACACTCTAATACATGCATGGCTGCAACTGTCTGACCTTCTAACTGTTCTTCATGCCTCCCTTCAGTTATAGACTACTCCATGTTATTCTTCCTATAGAACTGTTAAGATTGTGTCACTTCCCAAGACTTCAAACTCTCACTGAAGAGGAATCAGAATGTTTTGTAAACAGAACAAAAGGATTCAAAATACTTTAAATAACCTCAACTAATACAGTAAGTTTTATATGTCAACATGACTAGCTATTGTCTCCAATTATTCAAACATTAATCTAGGTGTTTCTGTGAAAGTAGATCCATAATCAGTTGGTTTTAAGAATGGAAGATTATCCTAGATAATCTGGGTGGGCCTGATTTAATCAACTGAAAGTCTTTAAGAGAATTGAAGCTTCCCAGAACAAGAAATTCTACCCACTGAGTGCAGCTTCAGCTCCTGGCTGCTTAGTCCAGCCTGTCCCTCCTGATGTCTGACCTATAGATTTAGCCCTTGCCTAACTAACAACTGCATAAGTCAATTCCTTACACTAAATTTCTTTCTTTTTTTTTTTTTTCTTTTGGTACCAGGGATCGAACTCAGGTCCTTGCGCTTGCGCAGCAGGCAGTGAAACCACTGAGCTAAATCCCTGGCCCACACTAAATTTCTTTATATTTCCTACCTATTCTGTTTCCTGGTTAAGGCCTAAATGAGACACCAAATTTTCATTAAATAAAGTTCAAAGAAAATAGTCCAGCATTTGAGGCCTATAATTGATTTGACCTAACTAATACTATATTATCTCTTATCAGTTCCTTAAAAAAAACCTTCCATATTCCACCCAAATGTATTTTAAAGACAGCACATTACAGTAAGAGCAAGAATTTAAGCGTTAGAAAATATGAGTTTTGTATTTTAGAACCTGTGTATTCTTGAAGAAAACATGTAATATCTCTGAGCCCAAATTCTCCCATCATCCATATTGTAAGAGTAGTAACCACTCAATTTAGGATAATGTTAAACTTAACTGAATAACTTCACTAAAGTACCTAAGACAATGGAGACTCCATAAAATTACTTACTATTGCAGCATAGTAGTATGTTCTCTCAGCTCTGCCTTTGGTTATATCATTCAATTTGCTTTAATTCTCATTCTGTCCATATATTCTATCAAATTCTGCCACCAAGACTCATTTTTTTCTGTTTCCCTAGTTAAAATGAGTTCTCTTGTATTTAAACATAATAGTTTTTATATTACCTCAAACAACATATATTAAGGTTGTCTTGTATAATGTGTAGTATACCACAGACCAGTATCTGGCAAGATGGTGTGTAACTACATTTTTTACTTACTTTATTTAATTCTAAACTCTTTGATGGCAAAATCTGCTTTGGCCCATATAGTAGTGATGGTGAACCTATGGTCCATGTGCTGCAGCAGCAGTGCAGGGTGCTCTCTGTTGGCACTCTAGCCAAGTTGCCCCAGCAGCCGAGCACTGGATATTCAGGTTTAATTGCAGTGTTGGCATTTTGCAATAAATAAGTGGGTTTTGGGTTGCAGCTGGGCACTCGGGTATCTATAAGGTTCACCATCACTGCTGTATAGCATCTAACGTTATGCTGAACACTCAATGAAATGCAGGCTGCATTTTCAGATTGATGAATAACAAAGAAGTATCAGCTATGAAATCTGTTGACATATCAGTCTAAAAACATCATACCTTTTCTCAGTAACCTGAACATCAGGGTAAAGATGAAAAAGCATTTTGGTACAAGACTGTTCTGGATGCAAATGTCAGACTTTCAAACTCTGAGTGGCCTTCACAAGATTCTTCATTCCATTCAGCTGTAGTTCCCTTTTTTGTAAACTAAAATTATAATGTTTACTTCTAATACTGTTAAGAGTCTAAGATGGCAGAATATACTTCTAGTACTCAGTACTTTATGTAGATATATCCATTACCAAAATAGTCCTTTCTGTGTCTCTTTCTGAATGTAGGAAATCATTCCTATTTTAAACAACTTTACATGTATTCAAAGAATTAAAATTACTTGAAGGAAATTATTTAAGATTCACTTAAGCCTTATAAAAATTGAACTAATATTAATTTCTTCCCTCTGTGACAAAAAAAGAAAATATAAAACTGGAAAAATTATCACTGGAAATATTCACACACCACTATTATTAGAAATACAACATGAGAATATATTATTTTTTAGAGGATTTGGACATGGTGATAATTATTACAGAAAATGAAGAAAGGAAATGGAAGTGGTAAATGATGGTTAGCAATATATTTTAAAAGAGTAATGTGTTTTAATGTAATAAAGGCAATATGAACTGCTACAGTTTTCTGTTTAAATAAGTTATTAAAAATTTTGTTATCATTGAAAGCACAGCAAACTAAGAATGCATTCTTAAGTAAGGATACATAGAATCTCCACTTTGTCTTTTTTTTTTTTTTGGTGGGGGGAACTGGGATCGAACCTGGGACCTTCCGCTTTCAAGGTAGGCAGCGGAACCACTGAGCTAAATCCCTGGCCCTATAGAATCTCAATTTGTAATTTGAGATATTTCTGAAAGTTGAAAGAATATAGAAAAACATATACATTATTTAAAAACAAACATTTTGAGCAAGTGATGTTACTGTTTTCTAGCTCTCAAAATTAATACTAGATAAAGTTAAGTATATTGCTTTGAAATAGTTTTTTGATTATGTATACAAGAAAGATATGAAATGCTTATAATGTGTTAAGTAGTTACAAAAAAGAATAAAAAATCAACATCACTGAGACTACAGGAGAATTCAAATTATTTATACAGATATTTTTATAGTCCTGATAAATTATAGGGTCAATATTATTAATACATCTTCCTACCAACTGAAGAAATAAGAGATAACAGAAAAAAGATCCAGTATAACAAAAGCAAATAAAAGATGAGTTAACCTAGTACAATGACTTACACATTCTATGAATTTAATATATGATTGAGTAGATTTATTTCCATAATCTTAGAGATTTTTATACCATCAATTAAATCTTCATTATATTTTTTTGAACCTACCTTAACTTCTTTACTAACACGTCTTGTTAAGTTGGAATGAGACTTGATGATCAACAAAGAAGCGTAAGTTGTCCATCCCACAAAACCAATAACAACACTGGTGCCCAAAAATAATCTGTCGTAAGTGTGATAATAGGACAATCCTTTCAATGCAAGATGAATCAGCTCCTTGCAAAGGGAGATCTATGGAAGGAAAAGAAAAAAATATATACATATATATCTTGCACATGAGAAGATAAAGGAAACCTAAATTTCAGACAGCTGTGGTGCCACTGAGCTAAATTCCCAGCTCCCAAAACCTAAATTTCAAAGAAAGAAAAATGGTAAAGTTCCTAACAGTCAAACCATTGTAGTAAATTACAATAATAATGGTAGATGTTGGATTGAAAATAGATTTTAATTGTCTGAGGATCTTCACAAAAAAGATGAGAAATATTCCACAATAAAGTGAACTTTGTACTCATGATAATAAAGGGCATTTTAATATAAACTATCTATGATATATGCAGCATTTTGAAATAATTCACTTTACAGAAATGATCTTCAGATGATACAATAAAGGAGATGAAGTTTCTCTAACGCAGGTCTCAACCACACAGATATGGTTAGCCATATATGTGTGTGTGTATATATATATATACACACACACATATATATAATATAGCTACATATAACTAAACATACAGTAGGTAACCATATATATTTCATTTCTTACTTTCTCAGATTACCCACATCTGGTATAAAACATTACTAAAGTGGCTTAGTATTTTAAAGGACAATAAGCTTGTCATTTTAAAACCACAATAAACCAGTAGAAATGCATAGATTGGCGATCTTTAGGCAATTTTAGGAAATTTTAGAAAATGAAAATAGAACTTGCTCCTGACTTCAAATTATATGATTATTTGATAAAGAAAAGAATTAGTGAAAAACACAATAGGGTAAGAGCTGGGAAGAAGCAAAGCTTCAGTATGAAACTTCTGATGGGGTAAGTGGCAAATATGTGGTTTTCTAAAATATTATACAAAAGAGGGTGAGAGTATCTTGAAATGTATTTTCTCACTTTAAAAATGGCAATAATATTCATTTCTATTGCTAACTCCCCTAAAGGTATCCATATTACCTAAAATAAAGATAAATAGGTTTGTGGCTAACCCAGCTCGTCAGGAAAGCTCCCTGGCCTGCCCAGTGTGCTCCCCATCACCATACCTGGAGATGCTAATCAGTTATTTCTGTCCACAAGGCCCAGGTACTTACTGCTTCATCAAACTCGCCCTGTTTTATGTAAGATCTTGCTTTTCTTAAAATGTTCATCTGTTTAGAATCAGAAAGCAACCTATGAAAGAAGAAGAAAACAAAGATAAATAGGTTTCAAATGTTCCCTAATTTTATTTTTTTCTTGCTTTTTATTCTCACTTAAAAAAAGATAATGAAAATTGAGATAAGACAAAACAAAAGAAGAAAAGAGCCTCAAGCTAAATTGTATTGTTGCTGTCTATCTGAACTCTTCAAAGAAAGAGCTTATAGTAAAATTTGGTTCTCTTTTTTTTTTTGGTACCAGGGATCAAACTCAGGACTTTGTGCTTGCAAGGCAAGAGCGGTGCCGCTGAGCTAAATTCTCAGCCCCCAAATTTGGTTTTCTTGAGTCAAAGATTCAACTATAAAATTACACTTGAGGAACTCATACAAAATATTATGAAGAGATGTTAAGACTTTACCAAAGAAATTCATGAAATGTATGACATGAGTTCTACTACTAAGTCCCTCTGAAAGATATAGCTAATTGAAAAGGTGTTAAGTTCAGTCTCCAGTACTGAAAGAAAAAATGTTGCTTTGGTTCATCTGGTTCAGTTCTCTGTTCCTTCAGACACCAAACATTTGGAATATTTTCTCAGAAGTCTTAGAAATAGAATTACTAAACCAAAGGGCATAGACATATTTTGAAGACAATATCTAAGTTGAATTCCTCAAATTTCTATAAAAGCCTTCTAACTGACCTCCTCCTTACTCTAATCTACTCACCTTCCTAAAATAGTAATGGTATTATCTAACTCCTTGCAATTGATATGGGCATTGTACTGTCTACTTCATCAACTCTAATCTTTCTGGACTATTGATGATACTTTTATTTACCACTTAATTTCCCATTATTTTAAACATAGCCCTCCAATATATAATGGTTAAACACTCTGTTTTCTCAATGGTTAAATTTTTTACTCTTCACTTATCTTGTATACACATCTGAGTTCTTGCTCATAAGATCTTCCTTTCTCTGTTTTTCAAACTCAAACCTTTGGATGGTCCAGTCCAAATCTCACCATTAGTACTTTAATGTGGTCTAATGATCAGTTTATTTCCCTTCTATTAAATTTGAACCTCCATGTTGCTCCATACTTTCATTAATTTGCACAATAACACTCAGCAAACTGCTAAGCCATAAAATAATTTAATAAATCTTAAATTAATTAAAATGCTATGAAAATATTGGCAGACCTAAAAATGGAAAAAAAAGGATGAAATGTACTGGCATTTAAAAAAATAATTTTATTGGTACATTTTAGTTTTACACTATAATGACATTCATTATTGGAAATTTGCACCTTCACATAATCTCTCTTGGTTCTTATTTTTTCCCCTTCCCCTCCCTCCCTTCAACTCCTCCATCGCTCCCTATTTATAAAGACTTTGTTTACATTTTTTCATTTTCTCATATTAATTCCATTCCCTTCTTTCCTTTCCCCTACCACTCACACTTCCACTTTGCCCCTTTTCTTCCTATTTCACATTATCTATTATACCTTTTAGTCCTCATTTACACTTTCAGTTTCTCACACTAGAGAAACGATTTGGTATTTACAAGTGTGTCCTATTTATTTCACTTAAGAGTACTGCCTCAATGTGCATCCACTTAGCTATAAATGTCTCTAATTTCTCATTTTTTATGGCTGAGTAGTACTCCATTC